AGTATTGTGTGTGAGGAGAAATGTTCAAACCTATGACAAAATAAATAATGAAATAAAATACTTACAAATAAAATAAAACATGTAAATATTATGAAAATAATAAATAAAAAATTTGAAAAGAGATAATTAAAAATATAAATTTTAATTTTTAATTAATAGAGACAATTTATAATTGATTTTTAAAAATTTAACGATCCCCAGCGGAGTCGCCAAGCTGTCGTAACCGGTTTTCGTCCGGGCACGAATTTATTTGTTTGGCGGGAAAATTGATGTTAATAAATGGTTTTGAAAATAATTTGGGAGTCGCCATCGGCCTTTTGGGTCAGGTAGGTCGAATACCTAAAAAATATCTTTTAAAAGAGTTTTTAAGAAAACATTCGTTCTTTTTAATAATAAAAGGATTCGTAGTCGGTTACGTTTAGGGAAGGATAGCACCCCTACAACGCCCAAAATTGGTACTTTTTTTTATTTATAAATTGTCTCTATTATTAAAATTTAAAAATTTAAAATATATTTAATTTTTAATCTTTTATTTCAAAATATATTTATTTAAAATATCAGAAAAGAACTTCTAGGTGCCTTAAGACAGCTCTTTTCTTTGATATTGATAAATATTAATTTATATAATATTGTTTAATTTTTAATTTTAAAATATCAGATAGGACATCCAGTTGTATTAAGACTGTCCTTTTCTTCGATATTAAAATAAATATTTAAAGTTATTATTTATTATATATATTTATGAATATATATATAATATTTAAATATAATAAAAGAAAAATTCTACTAAAACATTTTTTAAAAATAATAAAATAAATTAAAACATATAAAATAATGACTAAATTATAGTAAAAATAAAATTAAAAATCTAATTCATAATTAATCAGAACTATAGGGATTAAATATGTTATTTTTTTTATTTTATTTAGTGACTAAAATAAAACTATCTAAAATTCAGATATTAGAATAAGATAAATTAAAAATATGAACCAGGGATTAAAATATTATTATTAAAAATAAGGACTAATCTGTCATTTATCCTAAATATTATTTTAATAAAAAAGACTAAAATGAATAAAATTAAATTCAAATACTGAATTAAATTATCATAAATTCAGTTTAATGACCAAAATAAAATTTACAAGTTGGGAGGACTACGGACGGGATTTAACTATTTTATATTTACGCGCATAGTCCTTCCCGAAACGACGTCGTTCGGGAAGGACTATATATGGTCCAAACCGGCTGGCCCGAAGGGCCAGCCATTTCATTTCTTTTCTTCCTTCTCTCTCTTCTCTGAGAGAGAGAGTTTCTCTCGCTTCTCTCTAAAATAGAGAGAAGCCCAGCCGGCCGGCAGCCGTTAGCCGGCGTTCATCCGCCGTCAACCGCCGCCGCCGGCCACCGTCTTCGGTGGCCGGAAAAAAAATTTTCACCCTAAATGTAGATCGGACCGTCCTAATGACGGTTCCGATGTTTTTTCGTTAAACGGCTCCCAATCGGAGCAGATCTAAAATAATACCTTCGGCTTTTCGAAATTTTTGGTGAGATCCGCGACGGTTGTGGTTCTCCGTTGACAGGGTAAGTCTTTCCTCTCTTTCTTTTTTTTTTCCTTGCTGCGTTGATGTTGACTGAGATCGTTGGTATATTTGTTTTTTTTTCCTTTCTCTGTTTTTTTTTTCTCCGTCTCTGTCTCTAGTTTCTGTCTCTCTCTGGTTTTTTCTTGCAGATGGGGTGGTGGCTTTTATAGCCACCACGTTGTAGCCGTCGGACGGTCCGAAGAAGGGCTCTCGGTGAGTCACCGGACTACCAGTGGTGACTCACCGAGTAGCCATGGCATGGACGGCTGGTATTCTGTCTTCTGGAGTCTTCGGTTGGGACGTGGCAGCGGCGGAGGCGGCGAGATAGCAACGGCGGCCGCGTGTCCTAGGGTATCAGACCCTAGGGTTTCCATCTGGGACAATCTGGTCCGTTGGATCTTGCCAGATCCAACGGCTGTGAGCTGAGGCGGCTGGGTAAATTAGGGTTAGGAAACCCTAACTGGAAACCCAAATATTTAGGGTTTCTGGTTGGATTTGGACCGGCTCTGGTTGGTTTGTAACTGGGCCGGTCCAGTTGTAATTGGGCCTGTAATTATATTTTTTTTATTATTTATTTATTTTTAATAATATTTATATGTATTTAATATATTTAATAATAATAATAATAATAGTAATAATAATAATAGTAATAATAATAATGATAATAGTAATAATAATAATAATAATAATAATAATATTAATAATAATAATAATATTAATAATAATAATATGGATAAAAAAAATTAGTATCTTCAAACTGAATTAATAAAAGTTGCTGCGCTTAGAATTCTCTAGTGCATGCTTTTCACATTGATAAGATTCCTTTTGTTTAATTTTATGCAACTAAATGAAGAAGTTTATACGTAGAGGGACAAAAAGAAAATGTAGGTGCTTAATAACAAAGCAAAGCAAAGGAGATGGGCTGGGGGAATAGTCCCTGCTCCTAACTTTTTTTTTAATTAATTTTGAATAAGTAGAAGATAATATTTGTTTAAAAATAATTTTTAATCATCTGACATTAAATGCTTAAACTTCTAGCGTTCTTGATGCTCAAATCTAAAACCTCAGAAAAATAACAATTATTTTACAAGTAAATTCGCTGGCTTGTATAATCTGCAAAAACCTACTTTTGTGAGCCGATTAATTAAAAGTTTATATACTCTCCAATAAATCTAAAACATGGAGCGGAAACCCCGTCTGTCTTTTAAGGCAGTAATGAACCCTGTTGTTTTGTTCTCAAACGTACGCCTTAGTAAAACGTATCGAACGCTGTAATCACAAGGCAACATACTAATCTACGTGTGCGTGACCACATCGTAGTTTCTCTCAGCATCTTGTTCGCGATCAACAGCCGATAAACGATAAAAAAAAAACTTGAAAATAGAACATCTTTTTGTACCATTTTGGAGCTCTAGATTTTCGATCTTTGCCTGTCAACTCCTCAGAATTCCTTGGCTCCAACAATGGTACGTACTTTACTGTTTAGTTTTTTTCTTGTTCATTCCCTAATTTGTCATTTGTTTACCTGATAGAAAAAAGCTGGAAATTCTTTGATCTAAGTCTCATATTGTTTTGGCCTTGGCCATGGTCATGGCAGATCCGATTTATTTTGTTGCAAAATAGGCAAGGCAAGACTCGTCTGGCCAAATACTATGTTCCCCTCGAGGATTCCGAGAAGCACAAAGTCGAATACGAGGTATTACAATTTTAATTTTTTATTGATTGTTTGGAAACCCCTATTTGCACCACCTAAGGTTTTGGTATTGGGTGAATTTCTTAGCTAGAGTAGTTGAATATTTTGATTATTCGTTTACAGGTTCATCGATTGGTGGTTAACAGAGACCCCAAATTTACTAATTTCGTGGAGGTTGGTAAAATCCCCTATTCTTTGTTTCTGTTTATCGTTTTTGGTTAATTCCTAATACTTCAATTCTTACTATGGGAATTTTCTAGTGAGGAAAGGAAAAGTTACATTTTAAATCAGGGTTTTGGAGAATACCCCGGAAGAACTTAACCAGAAAATTGAAGAAATACAAAAGTAGGGCAAGGCTTATACTTTAAGCAAGTAATTGCTGAATGTTTGATCGATTGTATGCATTTTTTTTTTTTGCAGTTCCGTACGCACAAGGTAATCTACAGGCGGTATGCTGGATTGTTTTTCTCATTGTGTGTTGACATAACAGATAATGAGTTGGCATATTTGGAGTCAATTCATTTATTTGTGGAGATATTGGACCACTTTTTCAGCAATGTTTGCGAGCTCGACTTAGTTTTTAATTTTCACAAGGTATGTTATTAGCAACTTTTGCATGAACATTGCTTGCTGGATTCAAGTTTTCTATCTAATTCCCATGAACCTGTAAATTCCATTAACCAAAAAGTTTTATTTCCCCCCTTTCATTTTGCTTTATTTCTACTTGAAATCGTGAATTTGTGATCTCAAGTCAACAATTGCTTATCTGCCATTTCCAATTACCTTTCACAATCTTTATCTAACTTGTGAATTGCTTTAATTCCATTCATTGGTCTAAACACGTGTATTGCCGTTGATTGTCATATTCCGCTGAGTTCACTTAACCTTTTTCCTTTGAAATTCATGAAGGTTTATCTGATACTCGATGAATTCATTCTTGCTGGAGAGCTTCAAGAAACAAGTAAAAAGGTTTGCTCCCCCCACCTTTTTCTAGAGATCATTTAGTTACTATTTCAAGTTGATGGTTTTTATTGGCATTGCAGCTTTTCTTCTCTTCCCATTTATCTTTTTTTACCCTTGGAATTGTTAGTTTTAGCAATGGTACTGTTATGTTTCTTCTTTTGGTGTAAAATATTAGCTGATACTATTGCTTTTTGCATGTCATTAGCACAATGGTCGTTACAGTCGTACTCTTTGAGAACATAATCATTCTTGTTATAAAGTGGCAATACAAATATTTGATGGCTTGGAAACCAGAACTGAGATTGTTATTGTTGCACGTTGCAGGCTATAATAGAGAGAATGGGGGAGCTGGAGAAACTAGATTAAATATGACTGCATGAAAGACAGATGGTGCAATTTGTGTCAAGTATTTCTCATATATATTTTTTTACCTTTTTTGCGCAGCCAAATCTTTATTGTGTTATTTGAAAACTGAAACACAAAGCATCCCCTTAAACCCTTCTCCCTTTTCCGAATGTAGTCGTTGTCATTGAACTTTGTTAAATTGGATAAATTTCTATTTGTTTTCCATTGGGTAAGTTTTGTTTAGAGGGAATGGATTTGCATGTTATTTTAACGTTTTAATCGAAAACATCAGCAGAGTGACAAAGCATAGATTTGACAAACCCTACAAAATTGAAGAATTAAGCAATATAATTCATGTTTATGTAGGGGGAAATTTGGACTAAAGATGCATTTGGGTTGGAAAAATAAAAGAGAAAACAAGGTGATAATGGACAATGGGCATTAAAATATCTTCTTGCTAAATATTAGTGTCTCATTATATTTCAAGCCCGAATCCGTAGGTCATTTAGATAAGCCTATCTCTTTCATCGTGCCAACCATGAGCACGGTCTATGATCTGCAGTTGAAAGAGCAAAACAATGTTTGCTGTGCGTCGCAAGTGGAAGGGACCTAATTCAAACTTCAGAGGCGTTCATAGCAGAGTAACTGCAAAGACTGTTCCACCATTGCGTATTCTACCATTCATTTTTTCGTACATGGATGGAAGATTGTGTTCTGAACTTTTTGCTCTGGTTGGGGGCAAATATGAAGAAATGGCCATTTTCAGCAGTTGATTCTGTGCTATATTATTCTTGGGACTCGGAACATCTAGACTTGAAAAGGGAGGAATGACCTTTTGAGCATAAGGAATCAATGTAAAAGACTCGGGTCTTCCATTTTGCCTGCTCTGAAATTGGGTCAAGACCGTGGAGGTTCCACCAGGCTTGTACTGAGCTTCTAGGTGAGCTGCCCAAAGTCGCTGATGTTGTTTTGTAATTCCGGAATGACTCATGTAAGGAGGGACACAAAAAGGTTTACTGGGATATTGAGGTATCTGCGGTTGGACCTGCAGTAAAGTACCACAAAATGAACATATAACTTCCATGACAAGAAGTCCCGACTAGCACAATATCCCTAAACAACCACAAGAAGATTCAACTGGGTGCTTGTTAAGAAATCATATTGATGGACCCGTACTGGTACTGGAACCTAAAAATGCAGCAACTTTATGGATGGCCTGACTTATTGGATGCAATTATGGGTAATAATGATCACACAAACAATGTTTTCATTTATTAGCATTAACATATTTTTGCAAGATGGGAAGGGAAAAAAAGGGGGTTGGGAGCAAAATAAAGAATTAAACCTGCTGTGTAGCTGTTTCCGTTGAAAGGTGATCTGTGTAACAAGTAGCGGGTATTGAGAAAGGCACAAGTGACCGGTGTTGTAATGAATGTCGATAAGGAACTTTTCCTTCAAATTGTGGTAGTGATTGAATAGCATTTCCAACTTTAATAGAGTGGTTATTATTAACTTCCATGCTAATGCCCCCCCGTCGACAAAGACAAAATCAAAAGTCTGCAGTAAACAGTACTGGATCAGGATAGTGAGAAGGAAATCACCACAAGCAATCCCAGTAGGTGACCTTACCTGCAGCTTATTTGAAGTGTTCTTACCAGATGCTGAAGCAACCTGTGGCTGTTCCTGATAGACCATCTTTGGCTGTAAAATACCATTTCTCGTTTAGTATTCATTTCTACTGGGAGCAGAGTTGCCAGAACAACTACTAGGTATATTTCCATTTACATCATTTCTCGAGTTACCGCTATCATTAGGATACAAGAGAGCTGTTTGCTTTAATCCTGTATGGGGTTTCAACTGAAGGAGCCGTTGAAGAATGCTGTCTTTGTTGTGCATCTGTAAATTACGAATGAGACAACTGATGTAGACATGGGTAACACACCTCTTCGTTGACTTCCTATTCATGGTGACTTTTGAACCTATAAATCTCATCATTTACCATACACTTGTTTTAGATGCTTTTAAGTGCAGAGAGATATTCCTGAATGCAGTGATAACAGGCATTTAAACATGCATACCTTTTCAGTCAAAGAACCACTTTCTAATGAACATGTCCTGGGGCCATAGATTGCAGCATCCAATGAAGCAGGAAACTTATTAGCAGATGATCTGATATATAGTAAAAACCCTAAAGGATGCCATAAACATGGTAATGAAAACAGATATTTATGCTGATAAAAGAGAATTACTTTGAAGATCCAAGGGTAATAGGACCAAGGGCCGAGCTTTGCCACAATGCAAGACCTATAGGACCAATATTATGTCGGCGTAAGGATATTAGCATCCAAACAGCAAAGAAACTAGCTATATACAGCAATGCAAGCTCCCAAGCTGGTATTTACCATTTTTTCTGAGCTCCTTGAGAATATGTTGCTGTGCCACTTGGCTTTCTGCAGCAGTAACCTACAAATGATCCAAAGCAACCATACGAGTTTAAGATTGACCAATGAAAGCAGCATTTGATTCTAACGTGTAATTGAAGAAATAGATTCGCGACTGCGCTTCTTCATGGCTGTGAATAAAATTCCAATACGTAAACATTAATACCATCAAACGCCTTCTTCTTTTTTATTCCTCTACAAGGATTCAAGTTTCAAATTCATTAAAAGCTGGCCGGTACCACCTTTGGAAAAGTAAATTTCAGTATGTACAAAGACGCAGAAACTCGATATAGTATAATTACTTGTAAAGAAGCAATGCACACCATAAAAGTGACAGCATCAATGATATTAAAGAATTAAGAAGCAAGAGAGCGAAAAGGATCTTGCGTCCATAGAAAGAAAAGAAAAGGCAAAAGGCCTTGGTCTCGCTTCAGTTCCAAACTTCTAATCCAAAAGCAAAAAACAAAAATGGAGAAACTTCCCACCAACTCCCCCATCAAATGCAAACTTAATTTAAAACGACAGGACAACTAGTTCATTAACCCTGAAAAAAACCAAAAGCAAAAGAAAGAAAGAGATAATTTCACAAAAAGGAAAAAAGAAAAAGAAAACCCTTTCCTTTTTCTTTTTTCAGAATAAATTATATTCACTGCAACAATCAATCTTCCTGTTATTCATTCGCAAGTTACACACCTGACCGTAGCTTCCGTGGAACATAGGCGTGATTAACGACATTGCAGTCATAAAAGAACTGCAGAGAAAAATAAATAAAATTTAGATCTTTCAAATTCAAAGACAGAAAAAAACTTCATTTTAGCTGGGAGTGATAGAAAAAAGAGAAGGCATGCCTTTTTGGGTATCTTAAACATATTGTTGGCAGAACTAGTGTTTGGAGAAGAAAAGGGTAGTGAATGTGAAGGGCAGTGATTTTCTCTATTATCAGAAGACAAATCACAGCAACAAGAGCTACCGATTTCAGTCTCACAGTGTGGGCAGCTATTGGGACCGGATCTTGGACTTTCTCTATGACCACTAAAGCAACTCAATCTTCTAATTTTCTCTTTCTTCGCTTTCTCTAAAGAAACGTAGTCTCCAGCACCAGCTACGCCAACGCCACCTTCAAAATCAATGGACAAAACACGACATTTATCAGTTACTTAGCTCTTCTTATCCAAAAAAAAAATGATAACAGTAATAAAAGGAAGAATATAATTATGGAATGATATGAAAAGGACAAGAGAAGGGATGGGTTTGGGAGTAAATTTACCAAAGGAAGTGTTGGGTCGAGATTGTTGTTGCTTCTTGTTGGTATTATTAATCTGTTGTTGCGAGAACCGAGTCATTCCACGCCTCACGTCTCGACTCTTGTCCATTTCTGTTGATACCAAATTAATGAAAACATTACGGAGATATAGCTATATCCCGTGGCGGCTCCTTCTCCAGAAAACGGCATTCACGGTTTCAAAATAAACGACTCAAAATCCAAACAAACTCATAAAAAGCTTCAAACCAGATCTTTCTTCTTCTCCTCCAGTACAAGTAAAGCTTCAAATCCAAATACGAGTAGCATAAAACAAAGCAAAGAGAAATACAAAATTTTATTTATTCTTTCACTTGGTATCTTTACACACAAATATATATTCGAACTAGATACAAGCAATCATCAATCATGATAATATCACGCCAACCAAAGAAAGAAAGAAAGGAAATCAAGTCATTAACTAATGACTTTAGCTTTACATATAGATAGGGACGTTCTTTTATTTATTCTCACATCATGCATGCATTAATTTAGGATAGAGTTCTACTATTCTTTAAACTCCTAAAGATAAGATCTATAAGCATTATAAATAGTCATTGTAACTCACTATTATAACACATTCGGAGAAGGATATACGAAATACCATGTAAAAAATTAACAACTCGTAGCCATTTTTCGAAGTATTTATATTTTGAAAGGTAAAGTTCATACCTTCACATGTTATTTTTCCTTACCCTTGTTGTGTTTTGATTCGAAAGAAAACTGAGAGAAGTGTTTTTGGCCGATGAACGGGGGCGTTTTCGAGATCTATTTTTGTAGATCTATTCCCCGAGGCTTGTGTTTTTGAAAAACTATTCGGATTTTTATAAACGGGTCATGTGGATCCGTGTGTTTTGTCGTTTTTTTTTTCTTCGATTGGCTTTTAGTTTTGACCCCTAATTCATTTTTTATTTTAATTTAACCCTTATTATTTATATGTATATATATATTTAATTATATTTTATTTATTTATTTATTATAATTTTTTTTCATTTTTCTTTGCGTTATATTATATTATTTTCCTATTATATATATATATATATATATTATATTATTTTTTATCTATGTTTACTTATTTACTATTTTTTTGCTATATTTCCTAACGTTATATATATATATTCTTACTTCATTTTATTTTATATTTCTATGATTACTATTTTTTAGTTAATATTATATGTATATTTATTTTTCATTTATTTATTAATATTGTTACTATTTAGTATTTTATTATATTATACATACATTTTTATATTTTTATATATATATTTTTTATTTTTTTATTTTATTTATACTATTTTTTTATTTTCATTATGTTTTTAGTTTCTTTGCTCTTATTATTATTTTTCTTTTTTTTAAAAACACTTTACATTTTTTATTCTTTTTTGTATATATATTTTTTTCTTCATTTATTTTATTTTAATCAATTTCATTTTTTTATATTTGTTTCATCCAATTATTTTATGTTTTATTATTATTGGTTTCATTTATTTCATTGGTTTACTCTTTAGTTTTGTTACTTTCTTTTATTATTATTATTTTATTTTAACATCTTATTTTAATTTTTAAGGGTATTTTCGTAAATTCATTAAGGGTAAGTAATTCGGATCAAATTTTACCTTTTAATTTAACTTGCAATTTTCTTAATCAAAGACAACTGGAAATTACGTAGTACCGAAAGGGCGGTTCAAGGGTGTTAATCTTTCCTTGACCGTAACCGACTCCCGAACCCGACACATCTTTGGAAAGACGCAGATCAGGTAAGAAATAGGGTATCCGATCAACCCATTTGTTTTAAATAAATGATCGGTGGTGACTCCCAATCTATATTTTTCAAGTCGAAACCCAATTTCGGGGCCTAACCGAAAGACGGTTACGACAGCTTGGCGACTCCGCTGGGGACACAAGTAAGTGAGTCAAGCTAAGGTAATTTCCAGTTGTCTTTTTAATGAAAAGGGTAAGTTTAAATTTTAAGGTAACATTTCGATCCTTATTACTTAATTTTGATTATATTTTCGAGTAAATAGTTGTATTGACCGTTTTTTAATGATTTCAGCCCTTAAAGATTTTTCATCCAAAGGCTCTATACCCGAGCTCCGAACCCGTTTTAAGTGGGGGTGAAAGCGACGCCTTCGTGTGAATTTATTCATCGTATGGGCCTAGCAAGTAACCTTCGGGATTCATGTACCTTATGCCTTCGTGTGAATTTATTCTCCGTATGGGCATAAGGGAATGTTTCTTCACGAGTTTAACTTAGTCCACACAAGCCTGTGATAGGTTTAGGACTAAGGGTCTGATAAGCCCAAGGGGGCACCGGCAATAAGAACTCGAGTACCTTTTTTTAGAACCTAAACCCGGAGACTACAAGGAGTTAGGGCCCACCCCAAAACCTCGTTTTAAACCCTAGAATGCCAAAATTATTTTTTGCTTTACTTTCTGTTCAAAACATGTGAACTAGAAATTTATGCGGTTAGGACTTGTTCAAAATCAACTTGCGGGATAGAGATCATGTCCGGGTAGGAATAATAAGTATGTGGGGTAGATATCATGTGGGGTAGGACTTTTATTTTCATGATTGCTTTGATTATTATCTTTACCTTACTAACTCTTTTCATTTTTTTCCTCTCTTTTATTTTATTTCCATCATCTGTATCATTCAAAAGAGGTGTTGATTCACCAAAAAAACGTGTTTGTTAACCATAAATAATCTGCATTAATGGACAAAGGTGTTGTAATACAGGAGATTAAAAACCCCGAGGTATGACTATGGTCCGAGAAGACTCAGAAAGAAAAGGGAGACAGTCTTCATGGAAGTTGTGTGTCAGAGCTTGTTAGTTATGCCTCTATCAGCCTAAAACAGAACAATATGCAAGAACTTCGAGACATCTGGGACAGTTGGAAGAATGATCGAAAACAGAAGTTCAGTCAGCGGTATGGTGACATTGCACTTTTGCTTCATGTTAAGACCAGTGAGCCCTTAATCAGAGCCTTGGTTCAATTCTGGAACCCATGATACAGTTGTTTCACTTTTAACCAAAAGGACATGGTACCTACCATCGAGGAGTATACTACATTATTGCACTGTGAAAGTATTAAACTAGAGCAAGCCTACATTAAACACATCAAGAGTCAGCCTTTCAAGAACAGACTGGCTAAGATTGCAGGAGTTGATGAAAAGTGGGTGACTGACCAACTCCGAAACAAAGGTAACGGGCAAGGAATTCAGTGGATCCACATAAGGAAACTAATGAATGACCACCCTGATGAATGGAAGACTATAGACCTTTTTTGCACTAGGTCTGTATGGCTTGATCATCTTTCCGAAGATTTTGGGATGCATTGACACAGCCGTGTGGAACTGTTTGAGGAACTTCCAAAACGAGTCAACCCAGCACCAACCATCTTAGTCGAGACCTTTCGATCTCTCAACCATTGCCGAAGAGCTAACGGAGGTAGATTCATTGGATGTGTTCAGCTCCTTCAAGTCTGGATTCACAGCCACTTCTGAAAGACTAATTGGGTTGTCTACCGCCGATTTAGCACTACGTATTCACCTTTGAGAGAGTTCATCACCATGAAATGGCATGAAGGAACTTCAAAAAAGAAGTGGATGAAAGTCTTCACTCATCTATCAAGACCGAGATATTACTTGGAGAGCCCCCTGGTTGTTCCTCAGTGACGTTCTTTTCCAATGTGGGGACTCTGACACTATGACCTTACCTGAACTTTGGGATCTAGTTGGGTATGTTCCATTGTTAACACTTAGACATTATGGGGCACGTCAGTTTGTCCCAGCAACATGCGGACTAGCTAAATCAGAGTTTGAGTATCACGGTGACAACTATAAGAAGATGATCAAGGAAACAGTCGATTCATGGAAGAAAGTATTCTGGATGGATGTGGTAACTACCAGAAACATGTTTGCTCCGGACTATGTGGAGTGGCAAAGATTGAGGAAAAATGACAATATTCCGGTGCCAGACTGTGAGGACACACGGACCATAGAGGAACATCTCAGGCCCGTCCCTTCTGGACTTAAGATAGCCAAAACAGAGTTTGAAGCTGTGAACAATGAGCTGGGGAAGAGGATAAAGGAACTTGAGGCTGAGCGCTATCAGTGGAATCTAGATGCTGACTCTCAGAAAGATCGAGCAGATAAACTTGAAAAAGAACAGAAAAAAGTCTGTTTTGAGCTCAAAGACTTGAGAAATGGGTATCAAGATAAAGTCAAGGATAACTCCAAGTTGAAAGTGGCTTCTGAATACTGGAAAGACGAAGCTCATAGCCTGAAAAGAAAGTTCGAAGGGCCTGATGAGAGAGCTTGGAAGGAACAGATGAAGACTGCCAAAAGGCGCTTAGCAGACAGTCAGCATCAAAAACCAATGCTTGAGAATCCAGATGGCTAATCAGGAGAAACAACATGAGAGAGATGACAAAACAATAGCTGAGTTAGAAGCTATTGTAGATAGGTTCAAGAAGAAAGTGAGTGAGCTTCAGATAGTGCTCTTCGACGGAGGTTTACAGTGGCGTTTCCGTTGGGAGCAAGCACAACAAAGGGTGAAGGCCAGAGACGCAGTCATCCGAGACTTCCTGGATCAAGTACAGAAGACAGTTCATCATCTACACGGCCTGGAAAGGGAAGCTGGAATGGTCCGACAAGGCATACAACCAGTGACAGATGAAGACAGAAGACTTGTTAATCTACTAGAAGTTGTTCAGGGTCTAGAGGATTTAGTCCGAATGTACCTTTGATCGTTTTTATGTCTCTTACAAGATAAAACATTTTTGTCTAAGTAAAGATTATTTATAATAATGGACACTTTTCTGGATCAATGCCTCGAACATTTCATGCATTTTGCATTTTTGCCTTTTTGCATCTTCATCTACATTTTCAAGCATTTTCACAAACATGAAATTAAGTCATGAAGGACTCGATGACTCTTACAAGATAAAACATTTTTGTCTAAGTAAAGATTATTTATAATAATGGACACTTTTCTAGATCAATGCCTCGAACATTTCATGCATTCTTGTATTTTGTATTTTTGCCTTTTTGCATCTTCATCTACATTTTCAAGCATTTTCACAAACATGAAATTAAGTCATGAAGGACTCGATGAAGTAGATTTAACCACATGGAAGCAAGATTGTAACATTAAAGAGCCTGATCAACTGATGGTAGGACAAAGTCGGCCAGAATAATCTAAGAAAAGAATCCCCATATCCTAAGGACTACG